TTAGGGCTAGATACCATTCCGTTGAAGAATGCATCGCTCGTTTATTGATAAATATTTACCGTATTTTCCGTAAATCAGAAGAGGAAGCTACCGTTAAATCAAACAGTTCAACATTGTTCACACAAATTCTGTGTGAACAAATTCTGTGAGGTAAAAGCTAACAGTTTCACATCATGGAATTATCTGAGTAGAAATTAATTATTTTTCAGCTAAATAGCCATATAAGTACATATTGAAGAGTCATTCTAAGCCCACTACTTCGTAAAGGCTGCTTCTGTCAGACGGATATTAATTAACAATTTATGACATGTAGGTTAACAAAATACTTGACGAAATTAAAGTTACCTGGATTCTTGACAAATGTATTACTGTTGTTCAGCGTATATCGTATTACCAACTCACGACTGTTCAAATAACCATCATCCGGTATGGGACCAGCAGTCCATTCTACCTCTAATTCCCCATTATTATAAAGGCGTACAACCAGGGAGGCCCATGATGCATAAGTCACGTGAAATTCTTTAACACATGGTCCCTCTATGACCTTAAGAAATACAACAAAGAAGCGTGAGGAAGTACGGCTTGAAAACTTGAAATTTACTATAAGTTCTTATCTAAGGGTTGGTGATACTTGACTTGGATGATTATCATGGAGATCACAAATCTATTGATGTTGAATCCTTTTTGAAAACCTTAGAGTACTAGACAGTCGTTTCTTCTCAATTTGAGACTATCCAACTACAGGCATTCACAGCTCTACATGCGAGCATAAAATTCAGGATCTACGTGGTTACGGGCAAACATCTACTGCAAGGCCAATGAGCCAACATGCAGCGATAATATTATCTAACTCCGGTCAATCAGCAATATTGCATGATCATCATTCATTGTCTACATTGATGCACTGTCTCACACACGATACTTTTGAACTCCATCGGTAAGGATTCTCAGCTGGAACTCTGAGAGCTTACTCACGAAAATAGTCACTTGTTAGAACAGGATAATTGCCAGTGAGACAGATTCTAGGAAAATCCGGTCATCCGGAGTATCAGAGTATGCGTTGATGGTCTAACGGTGACAGTTTCATCATTTTCAATGAAACTCAACCATCTACACGATCAAACTACCAGTTTGGATACCACGCGGACACCTTCGAAATTAAAACGCCTGGAACAGACAAGTCAGTTTCTGTGCAAACAACGAGTGACACACCTTCATAACTGCTGAGAAGATTGACCAATCGAAGGTGCAGGCCAGTTACCCGGTTGCATTTGGACCCTAGCGCTAAATCCCAGGAATCTGTTTGAAGGGGAGGAGTTAGTGTGACACAGATGGAACAAAGCATGACTGCGTTAGCTGCGCTCTCATTGGCTAAATCTAATCGATCAGCGCTAGTCAATCATATGGATTAGATTCCAGAAGCTTTGCAAGTAAAAACTATAAAGATACTAACGTTGTTTCTATTTCGCCTTCGATTCCACTTCTTACTTCAATTTAACCTTGCTATTTGGAATATAGTCTCCAACCTGTTCCACCGTGTTCTTATACGGGGACTTGTCGAGTGTACTTTTTTCAGAGAATACAAAGCGATAGCCATAGCCGAGTTTACTGAGAGAGATTTATAAACAATTTTATGCAGGTTAAGTGACATTCTACAAAGAATCCGAATTCGTTAGCCTAATGTATATGATGAGAAGAAGTAGGTAACACACAGGTCTGTTTGACGACTACAACGGAATAACTACACAATCTCCTATTATTCCTTTCGATATATTTGTAGTCGTCGGTCAATCTTTACTTCTCTCCGTCTATATCATTTGCTATCTCATTATGCGCATAATTTTTATCACATATTTCCGATGATGAAGTCGATAAATATCAGTTCTAGGAGAGTCTATAGTCAATGGTCCAGATGCGCGAAACGATTTGACGACCGAAATCAGACAGTCGGATGCAACATAGAACTTCGTACATGAGTACATCAGTTCATGCTGACATACCACATTAGCACACAGACGCAACTGTCAATTCAAATCCCATAGTGGTAAACATATTAGGAGTAATACTGGTAATTGAGAGGATTCGGGCTCCAAGATATTATTTAAAAAGTATAATGTAGTGAGATATGTTTAGAAAGAAAAACGTAGAGGTGTTGGCGAATCCAGAAGATTAGGGTTTGAGAGAACACAAATAATGGATGGTCCTGCGCAATCGCAAACGATTATGAGCCACGTCATCCAAGGTCTGCAACTATCGGTTACTATCATATCGTGCACCCAACTAGGTAGCCTACATCTACCAACATGACACAGTCCACTTTTCAATGACGTCATGGATTTCTGAAATGTTTTGTTCTGTCCACGACTAACTTTCTTCCAACCTACTGCTACACTACAAAACAAAGCTCGTCGAGGTAGTTGGTGATCGGGCATTCGTAACACATGTCGGAATCACATCAACTGATGACGTTTCAGTAATTCGTCTATTGATCTGTCATCTTGACAGATCGTGTATCCCGTACGAGGATGAAGCTACAATCTCCATAATCACATAAAGTGAAATTGTAAGTTCCATTTTGTCGCAGCGCACAGTGAATTCGAGCTAGCTGATGTAAATATGAAGCCAAAATTTAATGGATACTTCGACCAAACAAGAGTTTCTCATTCGTGACAACTCGCAGACCAGAGAATGATTCATGTGTACTTTGATGTTCTCAATTTTATTTAGAGGTAGGAAGTATTAGATAAAATATCTTAATTGATTATTGAAATAAAACTACCTAACAACAATTCAGTAGACCCTATCAAATATTCAAAATGTGGACTGGTTAGATAATGGATTAGATATTGACTGTTACAGAATGCACGTTGAATTGCAAACATGATCCGACTGACACAGAAAACAGTATGATCCGTAACCCACATATATATAATGGATTAGATGATGCCTGAATTGTAGTGGTATTGGTAGTAACAGTTATATTCACACTCTGAAATACTGACTTATTTCGGAAAAAGTTGGTTTGGATAAATTATATAACAAGCTTGATGCGATATCGCTTATTCATTTCATAATGAGTACGAATATATATATATATATATACTAATATATTCGAAAAACAGTTACAGAATGCACGTTGAATTGCAAACATGATCCTACTGACACAGAAAACAGTATGATCCGTAACACACGGGTGGACAATCTCGAACTGCTTTTAAATGATGAAGTCCATGTATTGCTTGGCAATCAGGATAATCTAATATATTTTTCACGAGCTGGTGTGAACCAATTTGATTTCTTCGTGCTCGATTCTTGTTCTTTCGGTGCGGCTTCAGATGTTCGGTACTGTCAAATGGATGGTGGTCTAGCCAATGGACTGTATAATTCTAGTCACTTGGCAGTTGGTTGTGAGTTAGTACGTCTCGGGATTTGAATGAAAACGTTTGTTTCAGTGCAGTAGAGTTTCCGGAAACTATTAGGCATCATATAACCAGACCGAAGATCAGTTATTTGCAATGTGGAGAGTAAAAAGGGTAATAAGGATAAAATTCTTATGCTAATTTTAATATGATTTCAGAACTGAGTAATATATAGATGAATTTAGTTTGTTAATTGGTAGTGAAGATTGTGAGAGAGGACTGTAGTGTAAACAAGAGGGAGGGAAAAGAGATGAGAGGCGACATTTATTAAGTAAGTGATCTGAGGAGATGGCATTGATAACAACTAGCAGGTCTCAAGATATGCATCATGAACAGCTTGTCGAAGAGGGAGATGACAGTCCGTATGTGAGTACGTGATTTTCGAGTCTCTTCTAAAGCATTTCACTGAGAGGGCTGTGGTCAACTCGGCTGGGAGAGCATTCCAAATTGCAACGACTCGCAATGGGCAAACGTGTGCACGAATCTGAGTATTTGCTCTTTCATGTGCAATCTTTCGAGGATTGCCTCGAGGGAAGTGGTGGTGGTGCATCGGTATGATGCTTACATCGGATGTTTATTATGATGTGCGCCATAATCAGATCACCTCTGATTCTCCTGTAGCTCAGTGGAAATAATCTTGAGAGCTGGATTCTATCGTCGTCGGGTTTATTTTTTTAAACCCTATCACCCATTTGGTTGCTCGTCTCTGCACTCAATCCAAGAGAGTTATGTCTGTTTTAAGCAGAAGGGCTTCAGTGACATTGTGAGCCTTTAGCTGTGGGCGCGTATGTCCTGAACAGGGTCAAAAATAATTGTGGGTTGATGACACCAAGTTGTTTTCGATCAAAGCAAAGAGTTGCTTTCGCCTTGTCTGCGTCATCTACAAACTTTAAGCTCGTTTGGAAGCTAATTATGGTTAATAATTCGAGATCGCGCTTCCAGGAGACATTAGGGGTCGGACTTCCATTGAGGGTGTAGATCCTTTGAGTCGTGTGAGGCAGAATATGCATGACGTAGCACTTCGTTTTGTTGATTTGTAAACCGTTTTTTACTGTCCCTTCCTCAATAGATGTAAGGTCTTTTTGAAGCTCAGTCGAAACCTCTTCGCTTCTAATGGACATCTAGATCTTCGCATCATCTGCGTAGATCAATGCCGGCGAACTAATTCAGCCCAACAAATCGTTAATAAATATCAGAAAGGGAATTGAACCTCAGATGTTCCACTGTAGAACTTCCTATATGGATACTCGCCAGCTCACGTGCATCCTATTTACTTCGGTACAAAACTTTCTATCTTCAACTTAGTTTCGGAGACAAGATACGAGTGAGCCGGTGAAGCCGATTTCCGCAACCTTTGTGATTGTGCGTTTGTGGGGTTCTGTGTCGGTGTATATTGTACAAGCAGGATGTCCAAATGTCACATGCTATGAAATGATTAGACGCTCACGTCGTGTTTTGACGAAATCCGTGTTAAGATGCATGGAATATTTTATTCTTATCCATGAACCACCCCATTTGTTTGTCCAACAACATTTACATGAAATTTGATATTATTTTTATTATTGCGTCTGCTCTGTAACAGGCTGTGTTCTTACTATCTCCATCTTTGAAGATCGGAGAGAGATTAGCTAGCCTGAACATGTCGCATATCGGTGAACAGAGGACTTATAAATATTATTTCTGGACCCGAAGTAAGCATTTTAGTTTCCTCAGTACAAAGTCGGTAGTGA